GTACATGTACTTTTCATCCCCTGTCATAATATTCTCAACGATCAGTCTGTTCCCCTTTTCGGACGGATGAAATGCATCCCAGAAAGCGTATAGGTCGCGGTTTGGGCACAAATTGGAAGCTCTTGTGCACAGCCCCAAGCCATGGTAAGGTCCTTGCCCACAGCATGCAACCTTTGATGTAGTAAATCCTGGACAACAAAAATTAAACAAACAACTTTATGTCACCAACACAACAAAAATGCATAGTAAGCGACAAAATGATTGGTGGGGTTGAAAATAAGCGTAGATTAGGAGATTCCTGAATAGGTTAATCTTTCGAACAAAACTTAATCCATGATCATAATATTAGGTCATGAACATAAAATTGATATAAATGTATATTGTATAATTAATTTACCAAATGCTTGAGGGTTCTTGATGAAGTCATTGCGGGTCTCCTGTACGTTGGCAGCAACGAAGACATCAGAACCGAGTTGGCTGTTGACTGATCTCAGCATCTGAATGAGTTGGGGGTTGTACAGAGCCGCCGCTCGTTGCAGCTCCGCTGCACATTCTCCGTTCCTGCTTCTCATGGCCAATTCAGCAGGCGCGCAGCCTAGCGGTCCTGTCCCCGTCACCAAAACCCTTCGTGCTCCGAGATCATACATTTTCTGTAAAGTTATGACACAAAGAATGATCAAACTACACATAATTGTAAGTCATTAACAGTTACATTGTCGCTTAGCTAGCAAGTTCTTTTCGAACTTAGCCAAATTAGGAGTTGGTTACCAAGAGAATTTTTCGGAGCTCAGAAATGAGGTATCTGACATAGTCTGGCAGAGCAAACTGGCGAGATCTTGCGGAGAAAGGCACTAGGTAGTAGTTGTTCACAAAATCGTTGCCGCCGACGGTGAGGAGGACGAGTGCTTGATTTACAAGCTGTTTGGTCCGTTGAGGTCCGATTTGGGCAGACAACCTTCGCTGGTATTGTTGGAAGTTTAGCAATTGCGCTGGCATTCTGATTATATTTGCCTGAAAATTTCACACATATCCATCCATTACTAGTTCAAAAAAAAAATTGTTGGTTGACAACTTTACCAAGGTAATTAATTTACTAGCATGTAGCACTTTTGTGCCCATGACGGGCACTAAAGAGCTAATCTCTCGCATGATCCTCTATTTGGTTTAAAAGAAAACTTACAAATTGAACCCCAGTGTCATTAAGAATTCCAATGCCAGCAGAGGCAAAGTTTGCACCAACTAGTAGCTTTTGCCCTGTGAGCTGTGGACTCAAGTATGGCAATGTAGGTTCTGCACCAAGCTTCTGACCTATATACACACACGCACAAACATATTAGGTCAATTCAGTACATGTGAATAACAAGAAAATAACTCGAAAAATCGTAAAGAAAAAGAGAATGGAAGAAAACCTAACTGATATAGTCAGGAATGGTGAGGCCATTGGAGAAACGACCGGTGGGTCGACGGGTGGGATAGTCAATGCCGTAGGGAGGAGAGTCGGCACGAGCACTGGTGGCTAAGTAGTTGTTGTTGCCAGCGTCGACCAGTGAGTCTCCAAACACAAAAAAGGCACGAGCCTCAGCACCACAACTCAACATTCCCAACGCCATGACCACACAAAAAATGGCCAATGAGCTAGCCATGGAATTGGCTTTTGACTTCTTGGGAGTAACCTGACGAAGAAAATAGAAAGGAGTTTGGACTAGATCTTTTCTTATGATTGGACAAAGATCACAGTGTTTGTGAGGAAATTTGAATAGATGAGAGGGAGGTTATATAGAGGTAGGGGTGTTTGACAATTGGAGCAAAATCTTAGGCCCACTTGTACAAAAGCAAAGCTATATTGTAGTTTGTTTTTATGGCAATACCTTGTATGGTTGGCAATGCAAAAGAAAAATAAAAGCTAAGTTTGAAATTTCTGCTTCCTGTTCTAGTGATCAATTGAAGTGGCTTTTCGACCAAGATTTCATAAATTTGGTCAGTATTATTTTGGCTTTAGGTTAATCTACTACCAAGTCAACTCAGAAATGAGAAAAATTTGGTGTAATTGTCAGTTGGGTCAGGCTCATCAAAGTATGTACTCGAATCCGAGAGAGACTACCTGCACGATCCGTTACTATAAAGATATTCAAAACCATCAATGCATTGGTGCGTACATATAGAAAGTTAAAAATTCACTACAATGCGTTATTGATTTAGAATCTTGCACAGTAGCTAGTGTAGAAAAGTCATGCTCCTACAACTAAGGATAAATACACACTATTATGTCCATAGCCTGACGAGTGTTTTCGACACGACCATATACCCAATGACACAACAGATTTTCTAGACAAGCTAGAGCACGCTTGCATCAAATCTATCAGATGTATAATAGTTAAAACAACTTCAATTAAACTTGCATATACGCTGTTCAAGTTTGTTCTCTAGCTCACCTTCAACCTCATTTTTACAGTTTTTGCTTTTCAAACCTTGTGTGCTAAAGGTCTAGTAGTGTTGGAAGGGATCAAATTAACCTGCTGCAGAGAAATTGTTCTTATTTGAAAACACTCGTATTCCATGAAGAAAGTTGGGTTCCATAATAAAACTCATTGGAAATATGAGGAGTAGTTCAACCTCTTATAACTCCTTACAAGGTTTCTCCTTTCACCAATGTGAGACTCTTTTACCTTTAAATCCTCACACGTCCTCTCACGTGTAACAAATTTTCAAGCCAAACACATGAACAACAGGAATTGGGTGATGTGGAGCAAGTGTGACCGTTAGGCTTCACACGTGGACCAACCTGCTCTGATACCCGAAGGAAAGATAGGGTTTCACCTTAAACCAATTGGCAACGTTGGGAGTAGCTCAACTTCTAGTAAACCCTTGCAAGGTTTCTCCCTTTATCGATGTAAGACTTTTTTACCTCCGCATCCTCACATGCTCCCTCGCATGTGGCAACATTTTCAAGCCAAATGCTTGGCAACACAAATTGAGTGACGTGGAGCAAGTGTGGTCTTTGGGCTTTACACGTGGGCCAACCTACTCTAGTACTAGGAAGAAAGTTGGGGTTTCATCATAAAATCAATTGGCAATATGAAGAATAACTCAACCTCTTATAAACCCTTGCAAAATTTCTAGTTTGACCGATGAGAAAACATCAAATTAATATGACAGCAATTTCACATGCAAGTAAACGGGACAGGTGGTGGTCAATTATTTGTGAAGAAATTTCCACGCTCTTGAATGACATTTCTTCTTAAAACTTTGCTTGTGACAATTACCATACCAACATCGCTATATATAATGATAATTCAAATGTGCCTTAACAAATTTGTCTACGAATGAAATTGAGGTTTTACCATAAAATCAGTTCGCAATATGGGGATTGAGAGTAGTCCAACTCTCTAGCTATAAGGACATACAAGCTTTAGTAAACTTCTTATATAAGATATTTATTCATATTGCCACACACCCTCTCACGTATAACGAGTGTTCAAATCTAACATGTAAACATCACAAATTGAAGGACGTAGATCACATGTGTTGTTGAGCTTCACACATGGACCAACTTGTTCTGAGATACATGAAAGAAGTTGAGGTTCCACTATAATACTATTAATAATATGGGAGTAGTCAAACTCCTTATATGTCCTCAAAAGGCTTGGTCCTTTCTTGATGTAGGAGTTTGGCCTTTCACTGCATCTAGTTGAGTTGAGAAGGCGAAGAACTTGCATGAAGCAATGTATATTTCTCGATCTTGTCATGCATATGTCACGATGTATGCAAGTTTCTCTTGGTGAAAAGATACTTTATAACGCAAGCGCGTTCTACTACTTAATAGAATTGCATTTGGGGCCCCAGAATTTACTCCTCAAAATTATTAGTACGTCTAGAGTAACATGCATGAAGTAATAATAGAGCTGAGGGAGCCTTCATAATACCAACTACTACACAACATCTTCGTACGAAATAACTTTGCTGGGAACGGTTCAACTAACAAAAAGAAAAGCCCTAGCTTTCCCGAGGGTTGCAAGTTTTATTCAACTCTTTTTCTCTCAACCAACTTCAGGTGCCAGAAAACACCAGTTACACAACAAAGTCACCATGCTTCCTACAGAGTTACAACATCACATTCATAAACTTCAGGTGCAATAAAACACCATTGCAAGACCTAACATGTAGATAACGCACACTAAAAAGAGGATCAGGTTCATGCAAAGCTCGATCGAGAAACCCTTATTGAGGGTTTTCTTCATCAGATGGAGATGAAAAACACAACGGTGTTGGTCGCTTCAAAGAGTCGGAAAAGGAACTGGTTCTCGACAAGAGTTTTTGAAGGAGTGAAGTGCAGCATAGAGGGTTGCCGAGGCAATTAGTGCTGCATAATGCTCACCGTCCCGACTTGCTCAGTTGAATGCGCTTCCGCCTATTTTGTCTCAGATGCCAATGCCATGGCAACGGTATCATAAGAATATAAACCTAGTGGCGTTCCGCGACCTTTTATTCCAACACCGAAGAACTAATCTCGCCTAATCCTCTATACTTCAGAGAATGCATAATGCGTATACTCAAATGGAACAAAAATGCAGTAGAACATCACAAGTTCACAACAATCATAATCTAAATATGTGGCATTCCGGCGTCCTTTAGAATAACATTGAAGAACTAATCTGTCCAAATTCTCTATTTCTTGAAAAACACATATACTTAAATGGTAAAAACAAAAAGAGAAGAGTAGCATCACAAGTTCACAACTTAGTCATTCAAATGTATAAAATAAATCAACGGTGTAAGTACCAAGTAACATATTCATAATAAACCGTTCATTTATCTAATATGTTTCCCAATCATTTAATTTATATGATCAAGATATGTTATTCGTAAATGGAGGGATATATGTGCATCCCCCCTATCAAACCTGTTACATCAAAACTTTTCATTCACGAAAGGAACTAAATCACATCTGCGCTATTGATGAAACTGTATTCAAATACAGCAGTTAAACAAGTAGTCACAAATCTTGCAAATCCACTACATAAACTTCAGGTGCCCAAAAACACCAGTTAATTAACATCATAAACTTCGGGTGTTTGAAAACACCAGTTACACAACAAGGTACCACGTTTCTACACAATTACATCACATTCATAAACTTCGGGTGACCGAAAACACCAGTTAGACAACAGAGTTACCATGTTTCCGACCGAATTACATCATCACATTCATAACCTGCAGGTGCAGCTGGGGCAAGAAAACATATTCGCAACGCCTAGTTTGTAAAAAAGGCACAGTAAAGAGAGGAGCGGCTTCAATGTAAACTCGATTGGGGAACCCCTGCTGAGGATTTTCATTATCCAAATGGAGATGAAAAACCCTGCGGCGTTGAAGACTTCAAAGAGTTGGAAAAGGAACTGGTTCTTAACAAGAGCGTGTGAAGGGTAAAGTCCAGCATAGAAGGTTGCCATGGCAATTAGTGTATAGCCATAAACAACTTCATCTCGCGCTGCAGACTTGCATTCTCCTCTGCCTCTAGCGCCATGGGGTTGGTATCATTGCTGCAATAGGCATAGGAAAATCAGTTGCAGATCGAACGGAAAATGTAATCAAATTTCATCCAAACAGCCTAGTAAAGAACATAAAATTTACTTAAAAACATAATCTCATCAAATATATGCTATAACAGAGGAACATCACAAGTTAAATGAGATTATAAAACTGTGGTGTGTTCCGGATTCTTTTGGACTAACACAAAAGAACTAACCTCACCAAATCCTCATTTACTTTGGGAAAACAAGAACACAAACATGCAAATCGTAAACTTTTTCGAACAATACATACTTCGTTGGCAAAAAAACCAGAGGAACATCGCGAGTTCACAACACTCATAATCTAAATCAATAGCATTCAAAAATAAAACCAGTTGCATCTAAACCTGGCAAAGAACATACCCTGGTTTGCCGGTCAGCCTTCTGCCCCTGCGACCCAAAGCCAACCAAAGCAGAAGTTAAAGGCCAATAGCATTTATTTCTAACTCTAACAACTAATCTCGCCTAATCCTCTATTTTTCAAACAATGCATATACTTAAATGACATGCAAAGTAGCATCTCAAGTTTCACAACACGTATAATTAAAACGTGGCGCTCCGGCGTCCTTTAGACTAACACTGAAGAACTAATCCTTCCTAATCTTCTATTTTCGAAGAACGCATATACTCAAAGGGACCAAAAAAAAAAAAAAGAGTAGCATCACTAGTTTACGACAATCATAGGGCTGGTTTGGTATTGCTGTGCTTTGAAAAAAAGCTGTTGTGAAAATAAGCGGCTGTGCTGTGAGAATAAGCGGCTGTGAAATAAATCAGCAGAGTGTTTGGTAAACTTTTTTATAAAAGTGCTTTTGGAAAAAAAGCAGTCAAATAGTGGGTCTTTTCATTAAAGAAGCACTGTAGCTCCATGTGCTTTGAAAAAAAGCCATTTTTCCAAAGCTGCAAATAGCAGCTTCAGCTTTTTCCTTTGATTTCAGCTTATTCTCACAGCAGCTTCCAAAATAAGCCATTTTTTTTTCAGTTTACCAAACACCTAAAACCCTCACAACTTTTTTTCATCGGTGCTTTTTTTTTAAGCACCTCACTCCCAAACTAGGTCATAATCTAATACGTGAAGTTCCAACGTCTTTTAGACTAACACTGGAAAACTAATCTCGCCTAATCCACTATTTTTTTTCAAAGAACACATTGACTTAAATGGCAAAAAAAATGCAGAGTAACATCACAAGTTCAAAACAATCATATACTAAAACAAAAACATTCAATGATAAAACAAAATAAAAAAGAAAATTTAAATTTGAAGAAAAATGACCTCTTTGCCATGTTCATCCAAAAAAGTCAAGAATCTGAAACAGAACAGGATAAAATCGTTAATGGCAGTTCATTGACAAAAAAAAAGAAAGAAAAGAAGAAGGATTAGTGAAAAAATGAAACTAAAATCCAAGCTCCAGTCACCACCAAACCTCAAAAACCCTAGATCTGAAACCTAAAATATCTCTAGGGTTAGGGTTTAACGGTCTGGAAAGAACACACGAACAAAAGAAGGTTCTAGAAACTAGAAAGTAGAGAAGGTCGGGGCTTCTTTTTCTACTAGTGTTTATTTAATTATTTAAATTTACTTTTTATTAACGAGCTGCTTCTAGTGCTGCGGTTTGTGCGACAAGAGTTGAAAGAGGATAAATAATAAAATAAAATGGATAATTATTTTAGGGAGACTTTAGATGCGGTCCCTAGTTATGAACAATCTTTGACTGAAACCTTGTTGTTTTTCAATTTTTGATTCAAGTCCCTAAAATTAATTGATAATTTATTTCTATGTACGTTACTATATTTTTTAAATTAAAAATTAAAATTTATAGTTGTTTATAGTAGTGAGATTTTAAATAAAAAACCATAATTTGTGGGATTAAAAATATTAAAATATAAATATACCATTGTGTGTGTGTGTGTGTAAACATGGGTACATTCATAAAAAAATAACCAAAAAATTATTGTATCAAAACATAGGTACATTCTTCAAAATGGGTACATTTAGCAAAAATAAAAATGGGTACAAATAAATAAAAAAATATGGGTACAATACAAATAAAACTTTAAAAGATATGGGCACAAAAAGAAATTAATATATGGGTACAAATTAAAATTGAAAGGAAAATTGGTACAAATTAAAAAAGGGTTGCAAATTAAAAATGGGTACAAACTAAAAATAAAAATATATGATAAAAAATTTAGCCATAAATATAAATATACTAATTGTAACATTTTTAATATTAAATGAATATATTTAGAAATAAAAAATATTTTATTATTGAAATAATTAATGATATTATTAATACAAAGGACCTTGATCAAAAATTGAAAAGTAATAAGGTTTTAATCAATAGAGTAGTAAAAATAAGGATGAAAACCTAATTACTCCATTATTTTATTACCTCAAGAGTAAACTGCGGGGACCGTGAGGAGAAAGAAGCGATGTGGGAGGGTGAAAAGGGTGAAGCGGCAATTGGGATGACAAAAGGATCATTTTCCTGGAGATTCTGGGAATCTCGTGATTATGATCGTTCATCGTATATCGTGCAGTCAGTTTTAGTTAAGTACTATTTATATTTAATTTTAAATTTTAAATGATTTCTGATCGCATGATATACGATAAACGGTCAGATCACGGGATCCCATCCTTTTCCAAAGGATGGGAAGTTACCCTAGTTGGTCAATCTATAGGGGTTAAAAATGTAGGGTTTGCTGGCATGTGCTTTTGGATGGTTAAAACTTATAAGTGCTTTTTAATGACTACAATTTTTTTTTTAAATGTTTTTTAGCTGGCTGAAAGCGATTTTCGTAAAAACGTTTTTAGAGTCAATCTTTGGTAAAAATGCAAGTGAATCTTGTAAAAGTACTTGAAGTGCTTTTAGACACAAAATCATTTTCTCTAAAAATGGTTTCAGTCAGTTTAAAAACACTTACAAATGAGTTATAAAAACGCTTTCATTTTGGAAACGGTTGTTTGGCCAAAAATGTACTTGTGTTTTTAGTTAAATAGAAGCACTTGGAGTGGGGTTTAAAGAAACACCTCCTCCTAAATGTGCTGCCAGGTGAAAACACGGGAAGTATTTGACTCCCTTCAATGAAACTTTTTCGGGACAAACCTCCTGTATGGGCAAAGTCCACGAGGGTGGCGACCATTACAGCAGACTGGACAAACATTATAATCATGGCCGCATTTCTGAGTCCCACAAAAAATGCAATTATACTTGTAGACGAAAGTCGGAGAGTCTTCAACAACCTTTTTTTCTTCTTCAAGTTGGAGTTGACTCAGAGTGTCTTTAACAGCCCTTGTTTTTTTTCTTCTTCTTCAAGTCGGGATCGACTCAGAGAGTCTTCAACAGACCATTCGTCAAAAGCAATTTTTCTCAATCAACATGTTTGTAGTTTCATTGGTTAGAATTTTGTTCAACAATGGAGGGTGGAAGTGTTTTGATAGTTGAGAAGATAAATAATACGCTAAATATGATTTGAGGTGTATTTATAATTTTTTTTAAAACCTAATAAGGTCAAAATTGTCATTGCATATATAGTAGGGTAAATAAGTCATTTAATATTAATTTTTAATGTGGGGTGCATTCAACATTTTATGGGATGCTAATATAGACAGTCTAAAATGCCTTTAGACTTTAAGAAAATATCAACATTTTAATGTAGGGTAAAAAAACCTTTCTAAACTATTCCTATTTTTAATTTAGACAGTGTAAAATGCCTTTAGACTTTAAGAAAATATCAAAATTGTACTATTTACCAATTTTTTCTAGATTTAACGCTGCTACATAAAAAAAACCCACGAGGTTTTCATATCGTGCTGAAGACTGAAGCAGTCACCTCTTGGGCGGCATCTTTCCCAAGCCTCTCTCCATCTTCATGCACATACATTTGAATTTAACTATTTTGTAAATGCCAGTTTTATTTCAAATGTCTATTGCCCGTAACTGGTAAATGGAGTGGTCCAGACTTCATGCATTGATTGAATTTGACTTGAAAACTCTAAACCCACGTTAGTAATTGAGACTTATGATTGACAGATGAGGTGTCACCGTGTCATAAGGCCTAAAAATACTTCTCATTTGTTCTGTGTCTGCTAGCTTTCTATGACTGCTCCTATTTTGAAATTTTAAGCTTGTAATTTTGGGTCTATGCCTAGTAAACGAGGACATAATTAATTCATAATGCAGTGTTGTATGTTGTTATTATGTTCTATGCTTTTTTTTTCTCTTTCTCTTACTCGGGATATAAATATCTAAGAATATAGTTAAGGATTCACAAGATGCATATGGGGATAATGAATTCAAATTTTCTACACTTATTTAGTGTGTGGGTTTTCTGTGATTTTTATTATTGATTGACATATATCTGTAAACTTACTTCTTAACTCTGTTGTCATAAACTTAATATGTATCAATCAATAATAAAATGTTACACAGAGACCACACAAAATAGGTTCACAGAATTTGAACACGGGGATGATAACGAAAAGAAGAGTAAGGCAATATGGGATAATGCAACTGTTGAGGCATTTATAAGGACTTGTGTAGATGAAACATTATCCGGAAATCGAAAAATTGGTCATGTTGGTAAATTTGGATGGAAAAATATCATTAAGAAATTTAATGATACTATTCAAAAGCCATATGCCTATAAATAACTCAAGAAAAAATAAACCGCACCTGAGAAAGATTGGCAATTGTGGACATCTTAGGTTGGAAAAGAGACTGGCTTAAGAAAGATTGGCAATTGTGGAGAACAATTTCGATCCTCCCCTTCCCCTTCCCTTTGCACCGGAGATCCAGTACTATTCCTTCTGCTTTGTCGAATCCACTCCCTTCTTTGTAATTAAGAATTATAACGCCGATTGAATCGGCTTCTTATTCCTATTTTAAGTTTTCTTATCAATGTCATGCACTAATATGACATAACTGTGTCATTTTTTCTTTGATTTTTTTTATCTTCCTCACTGAATCCATCTCTTTTGCAGCGGAGACGCCGACGATAGAGCATTCCCTATTTGCAGAAGTTAAAGGCTTTCTAGTAATCCTGAGAGAAAAGAACAATATATTGCTAATGAATTGGTAGAGGATTGCTCTGTTGTATGCGTTTCCAATGCAAAGGAGATGCATGCAGTGAGGGAAAACTCAAGCCAACAAGGCTCCCTACTTTACAACAATCGAGGAGGGAATGTCTATTGATTGCATACTAATTACTCTTACTTTGTTTCCAAAGAGACTGTTTTTCTATCAATTCATTTACAGTTTTGTTTGTTTTGTTTTGTTTTTCTTGAAAGATTTTGGGACAACCATGGTCACTACACACAAAGATAATTCAAGAGTTGTTTCTGTTATACAACATTTGGTATATTTAAAACTTGTGCCCACATCAAAAGTTGTTTTTACGTAACGCTGTTGTTGAGCGAATCTCATTGGAGAAGTTTGCATGTGTTTATAAAAGATTAGGCTACTTTATATATTGTCAATTGGTATCAGAGCAGGTTATCCTATGTGAAGCCT